TTGTAAGTTTCAATTGCTTCAATTGAGACGTCACGCCTAGGAAAAGTACATGACGTCACAGACTTACGCACTGGAGTCAAAATGGCGGCTTTTTACATTAATATTGTCGTTTTACACGAATAAATACCACAAATCTTGATTTATAAAACCCGTCACAATTTCTTCATTTTAGCTCACCAGAGGCTCGCCGAATTAAAAAGGTCTTAAGACTCGTTTCATAAATCCCATATGAAATAGAAACTCATGTAAGATCCTATATATATTATATTACTATGAAAATTCATTATAAATACAATAGAAAAGCATGGCAACGCGACTGATAATGTACATAGTTTTGTTATATGTGACGTTATCTATTTCAATGTTCTTTTTAAATTGCGGAATCATAACATTACAAAACTCTGGATATCTAAGCAATTGTGGCAAAATATTCTCCAAATGAGATCCAAGGGAATATGTAGCATATCTGTATGTTATTTTTCATGCCCAGCAATATTATGTATGGTTATGGGGTGGGGATCTCAACTACTTCCAAGCTGTGACTCCAAAACTAGGTTCCTAGGGTTGTGACCAGACCCCAGGATCAATTCAATATCATGACTGCATTCATCTCTTTTTGCCCATCATTTGTATTTATAGTTTTGGGGTGGGGATCTCAACCGTTTCTAAGCTATGACCCGGGGGTGAAGTCTGCAAGGGTGGGGATCTCAACCGTTTCTAAGCTATGACCCGGGGGTGAAGTCTGCAAGGGTGGGGATCTCAACCGTTTCTAAGCTATGACCCGGGGGTGAAGTCTGCAAGGGTGGGGATCTCAACCGTTTCTAAGCTATGACCCGGGGGTGAAGTCTGCAAGGGTGGGGATCTCAACCGTTTCTAAGCTATGACCCGGGGGTGAAGTCTGCAAGGGTGGGGATCTCAACCGTTTCTAAGCTATGACCCGGGGGTGAAGTCTGCAAGGGTGGGGATCTCAACCGTTTCTAAGCTATGACCCGGGGGTGAAGTCTGCAAGGGTGGGGATCTCAACCGTTTCTAAGCTATGACCCGGGGGTGAAGTCTGCAAGGGTGGGGATCTCAACCGTTTCTAAGCTATGACCCAGGGGTGAAGTCTGCAAGGGTGGGGATCTCAACCGTTTCTATGACCCAGGGGTGAAGTCTGCAAGGGTGGATTCTTTTCCTTATGCTCAGCAATTGTATATATGGTTATACAGTGGGGATCTCAACCATTTCCAAATTAATTTCCACTCCTTAGTCAGGGGGGTCAGCCCCACCATTTGTACAATTTTCCAGTCAAATTTAAATTCCAATCAGAGGTTAAGAAGAAGTCGTTTAAAGCAACTGTTGACGTACAGACGACGGACGTACGAGGAGCCACGGTATGGCATAAGCTCAACTTGGTTCTTCGGACCAGGTGAGCTGACAATGTAAGACAATGGTGGCAGAAGCACTTACTTTAAAGTCGTGTAAACAGTTAACATTCTCTTATCTTAAACATATCCTTGTCGCTCCTTTTACCTTTATATTAAAAATATACAAACTGAAAAATGCTTGTAATAGGAAAAATGTACAACAAGTCGATGCGTGAACCCCAGATAAGGTGGCAAAAGCAAAGAAGAAATAATTATGCCAAAAAGGACAAACAACATAAGCACTAAATGCAGAAGACAAGAGGCCGTGGGCCTTAACGGTCAATCGAGTTGTGATGCAACTGGTATTTCCTGTTGTGATACAACTGGTATTTCCTGTTGTGATACAACTGGTATTTCCTGTTGTGATACAACTGGTATTTCCTGTTGTGATACAACTGGTATTTCTTGTGATCTGACGAAAGGAATAGGACATCTAAAACAAATATGGCTTTTTTGGAATCGCTGTCAGAATTATTGGAAGTGACCAATAAACATCATACATATAATAATAAAGAAAACAATAATTAATATAATGATATAGTAAATGTTACCCTCTCCTACTCGTGATCCTGAGTAATGATACTCGTGATCCCGAGTAATGACACTCGTGATCCCGAGTAATGACACTCGTGATCCTGAGTAATGACACTCGTGATTGTTATTAAGCGTTTTAATTCCACGCATAAAGAGTATTAAAGTTGGACTTATCTTAGTCTGAAGAAGTTTCCATTTTTTTATTTTAGGCATATCGACTGTTTTGAGCGACACGTAGCAGGCCAATGATAATGATTGCAATAAGTAATTTGACCCCTCTATCAGAGTATTAAGTGTCGGATGATATAGGTCTATAAAAAAGATATTTTTAAACAATAAAACGTTTCACCAACATATACTCAGTAGGAGGTTTGAAGAAATTTTAAAAATCATTCTATCTTTATTAAATTAACAAATAGAAAAAATAATTAATGTGTTTCAAAACAAGGTCAGTATATCCGAGTCATCATACGGATTATTTATAGAACCCCCCCTCCCCCAGCTTTTTACATTAAGTTTATTTCTGAAAAACAAACTTTTTATTGTAGGGCTGGGCAACATTTGCAATTGTAACCTACGTTCAAATTACCTACACAACATCATTTGTTTGTAAAGTGAGATTCATTTTTGTTTGTTATATAACATGCTAGGCATTGGTTTTATAACAAAAGGTTCATAATTCAAAAAAAGTGTACAGATTAAATGAAAGGACACTTTTGTTTGATAATAGTTTAAAGAACTTTCGCGAAAAAGTAAAAAATCTATAAATGTGAGGGTAGGAAAAATGGAGTTATCTACACAAACAGGAAGCTGTGGACATACAGTCTGATTACAGATCTACAAAGATGATGTTACGGTAACTAAATATCAAAAATATAACTCAACGTTATTTATTTACACTTCGTCTTGTTTACGACAATGCCGTAAACGTGTTGAGCTTGCTATTTACATCAGTAGCAAATAGTATAATGAAAAATCGGCATTTTCATTAAAATATAATGTTGTGTGGTTTTGTTGTCAAAATTCGCGCGAAAGCACCATTACATATTTTTTTTCAATATGATATGTCCAAGTGTGATGTCACAAAGAAAAATGCGACGACGTCACAAAAAATCACGGTAAAATTGGTGGGATTTTCATTGTTTCCATTCTAAATATAAGTTGTGTTGCGTGCCTATATGAGCATACGATATTTTTTTTTAAAGAACATCAAAGCCGTTGTGTACGAAACTCACAAAAATGACGTGATAAGATATAATTTAATGTTGTTTGTATTTATAGCGAACAAACGATTGGTGACTCATCTACTGTTAAGTTTGATTTCATGAGGTGATAAATTAAGTAGGTCTAGTGACGAATTCTATTATCTTAGAAGCATTTGATATGAATTGACTTAAGTATATCTACCATACGACACCTGATAGTGTAGCTTGTGTACTGTAAGTCCCAAATATAGTTGCTATGTATTTTACAAATAAAAAATATGTTTCATGAGTTTGGGTGGATTATCATTGGATAGTCGGTTTGAAAGAATACACAAATTTCATCGCACAGGTAATGTTAATGAGAAGTAAGGCTGAAACAACAATGCATAACACTGGCGAATATGTTGGAATATTCGCTCTCCACATTTAATTATAATGTAATGAGATATATCTTTTACGACTTTGGTTTCAACTTATCTTTACAATCAACTACATACTCATTTCTTAAATAGAAGTGCACAAACATCTTTAAGCAAATCGGTCAAAATATGTTGACGGATGTTAATCTTAATACCTACCAGTCATCAGGAATATAGCATTAATACTTCGCAGAAATATTTCAGAAACAGTATTAATAATATGTCCCACCTCAAAAGTGAAATAATTGATAATCATAATATAGAAAATAAAACTGATTTATTGCAGTATCCTTGCATATTTTTTTTATTGATGTTGAGATAGGTAATATCATCAAACTTAGGGTCCGTAAGGCAATGAAGGTCCTGTAACCTTGGCGCTAATCTTGGGACCATGAAAAACGAACTCGATTTATATTCATACTAAACATTTGTACAATCTTTGATGAAAGTCAGTTCAACAATTGGAGTTCGCAAAGTCCTTAAAATGAATCGCGGCAGCACAAAAACATGATGGAGTGCAAACATTAGTGAAATTAACAAATTAAGACTTGTCACTCTCTCACTCTCCGAAACTATACCCTTTCACATCCGAAACTTATAATCATTAATCACACCAGTCAAAATAAATCCTATCCAGCTACCTAGTCATAGGAGAGGAATGGGTTAGGTCGTGATGGCGTTCTTGTCCAATCCATCTGGTTCTTATGAACACATTTGATATACTTAAATAAAATTCCCATTGGCAAATATGGTATCGAAAATAAATGTGTTCTAAAAAATAACTATCATTGACAAAATATACACGATTTTCAACATATGACATAGAATTCAACAATATAATAAAGATTCTAGTTATTTTCATTCTAGTTATGGATGCTGGCTGTGTACTGAACATTCATGACACAGACACGTCACAGTTATTGCTCAATATGGAAGGTCATATTAAATATACCTATATCCGTATTTTCATAATCGTTTTTATTTTATTTTAATTGCATTCCATTTTCGCAAAAACTATGAGCTTAGACTAGTTTTTGAATTAATGTGAAGTTATTTGATATCTTGTATTTTGGTTTAATACATTTTTTTGCGAAATATACTTAGTTTTTCAAGATTTCGTATTTCCCTATTTTTCACACCAAAGATTAAATCCAATTTGTACCGATTTCTTTCTATTTACACCTTTATGAAAACAGAATAATCACTGACTATAGGAACTACTGGTGTCGGCAACATAGTACCATTAATAAAATTCTTTATTGAAATTCATTAGATTTTTTTTTTTTTTTTTTTTTTTTAAATATTTGAAATACAATGCCGATAAATAGTTTTTTAGAAATAGCATTTTTTTTTAAAGAAAGAAAACTGCATGCAAAACTGAGATGTAGGACTATTCATTCGGTCTGAGAATCGAATTTATTATCAAAAAAAATATATATTTAAGTTCTAACTACTATCACTGTTCTGGAGAAAGCATAGGTGTATTAATTACAAAATATAAATGTTTATACAAAACAAAACATTATTTATAGTTTGATGAAAGTTATAACTGCATTATTGCGTAATACTAAACATCCTAGAAAATAATCTATGGCCTATCTGAAAAGTATCTACGTTACAAAAAAGGGGTTAATTTGAAAAAATATACAATATCTAGAAATAATATATGAAACTTCAGTTGGTTTGGACAGATACGTGTATCAATATTTATAAACCTTGATAACAGGGTTAGTTTGGACAGATACGTATATCAATAATTATAAACCTTGATAACAGGGTTAGTTTGGACAGATACGTGTATCAATATTTATAAACCTTGATAACAGGGTTATTTTGCACAGATACGTGTATCAATAATTATAAACCTTGATAACTGGGTTATTTTGCACAGATACGTGTATCAATAATTATAAACCTTGATAACTGGGTTATTTTGCACAGATACTTGTATCAATATTTATAAACCTTGATAACAGGGTTAGTTTGGACAGATACGTGTATCAATAATTATAAACCTTGATAACAGGGTTAGTTTGGACAGATACGTGTATCAATAATTATAAACCTTGATAACAGGGTTAGTTTGGACAGATACGTGTATCAATAATTATAAACCTTGATAACAGGGTTAGTTTGGACAGATACGTGTATCAATAATTATAAACCTTGATAACAGGGTTAGTTTGGACAGATACGTGTATCAATAATTATAAACCTTGATAACAGGGTTAGTTTGGACAGATACGTGTATCAATAATTATAAACCTTGATAACAGGGTTAGTTTGGACAGATACGTGTATCAATAATTATAAACCTTGATAACAGGGTTAGTTTGGACAGATACGTGTATCAATAATTATAAACCTTGATAACAGGGTTAGTCTGGACAGATACGTGTATCAATAATTATAAACCTTGATAACAGGGTAAGTTTGGACAGATACGTGTATCAATAATCATAAACCTTGATAACTGGGTTATTTTGCACAGATACGTGTATCAATAATTATAAACCTTGATAACAGGGTTAGTCTGGACGGATACATGTATCAATAATTATAAACCTTGAAAACAGGGTTATTTTGGACAGATACGTGTATCAATAATTATAAACCTTGATAACTGGGTTATTTTGCACAGATACTTGTATCGATATCTATAAACCTTGATAACAGGGCTAGTCTGGACAGATACGTGTATCAATAATTATAAACCTTGATAACAGGGCTAGTCTGGACAGATACGTGTATCCATAATTCTAAACCTTGATAACAGGGTTAGTCTGGACGGATACATGTATCAATAATTATAAACCTTGACAAAGGGATAGTTTGGACAGATACGTGTATCAATAATTATAAACCTTGTCAACAGGGTTAGTTTGGACAGATACGTATATCAATAATTATAAACCTTGATAACTTGGTTATTTTGCACAGATACTTGTATCAATATCTATAAACCTTGATAACAGGGCTAGTCTGGACAGGTACGTGTATCAATAATTATAAACCTTGATAACAGGGCTAGTCTGGACAGGTACGTGTATCAATAATTATAAACCTTGACAACTGGGTTATTTTGCACAGATACGTGTTTCAATAATTATAAACCTTGATAACAGGGCTAGTCTGGACAGATACGTGTATCCATAATTCTAAACCTTGATAACAGGGTTAGTTTGGACATATACGTGTATCAATAATTATAAACCTTGATAACTGGGTTATTTTGCACAGATACGTGTATCAATAATTATAAACCTTGATAACTTGGTTATTCTGGTCAGACACTTGAATTAATAATTAATGTGAAACTGTATCCTCTTACTAATTAACGAGGAAATTATTTGTATTTGTCGCAAAAATTAAGTAATCTGCCGTATACAGTATACACACGACTTTATACATAAAAACGAGGGAAAACATATTAATACGTAGTTAAGAGAAAGATTTGTAATTAATTCAGTGAGTGTGTGCCGAAATAGGCATTAAATATCAAAAGTATTTAAACTGGCTCTTTCAGTTCATTATAATAAACCATAAAAACGACTTCCATTAATTGGTATTGCGTATTAAGACTTTCCTTCTTTTTTCTTAGAGAAACATAAAAGAAACGGGAGGAAATAACATAAACATTAAATCAATAATAAACTAAAATATTGCTTACAAAAGCCACCAAATGTAGCACCACAGTGTTTATAGGTTTCACTTGTGTACGGCGGAGGGGAGGAACCTCTTATGATGGCTTAATGGTAGTTTTTACAGACACATTATGTCCATCGTTTATAATCAATCCAGTTACCCGTCTGAACATTTTAGTTCTCCTTATCAATATATTTCTGAATGCTCTTTACAATATAAAATTCTAACACTTTGTAGAAGAAACTTAATGTAAATCCAAATCAGCCAAGTTTTTTGCATTTTCCAAACCATAACTTTTTCATCATATCCGGTGGAACTTCATGTGACGTCATCATGGTGCTACCGTGGTATATGCAGGGATCAGCTGCAAATCTCCCACCATTGAACCCTGGGATAGCCAATAGGCTGTATCCAAGTTTTTTTATGCAGAGCGAAACATACACATCTTCAAGGTGGAAAAATGGTACATGTTTGGACATTTCAAACACCTTTGTAGCCACGTTCATACTAGTAACGTACCCGGTACCGGAACAAAATCCCGGATAATCACTCCCAGGAAAACTTTTCTTTGATGCATACCATTTAGATCGGCGGTCCCGGATCGGTTTAGCCGTCTGATGACACACTCCGCCTACATGTGTCTGTAGCTTGTCTTTGTTAGTGTTTAATGTTTTAAGAATATTTGGAATGTTGACATACATATCATCATCAGTTTTCATCACAAATTTCGCGTGCTTACATTTGGTGCTGGCCCATTTGTACGCCATCATGGTTTTGTACGTCAAGTTACTGTAAGCATCCTTGAAGTCTTCCTGAAGAATATCTCTGAACACTATAAATTCTTCTCTTACTTGTTCATCCATTTCTGGATTAGCAGGAGCTCCTAGTAGGAAGGCATACCGAATGTTTGAATCCAAAGAGTTATTTTTAGCATACGTTAGCCATGTGTTACGTATGGTTTCCCTCTGTAGTCTGTTCTTGTGAACTGTAAATATCAGAATGACGACATCTATTTCAGGGGATGTGTCATTACGATCACAAATTTGGTCGTTGTCTAACACGTAATTAAAGTTATGATTGAAACATGTTTTACAGTTGTCAGGACGATCGGATATGTCCGTGGACACCAATCTGCTAACATCTGGCGTTAAGTCAGGCGTCACCTCTCCGTTACTTAATTCCGACAGTTTAAGAACTCTCAGTAACGCTTTGGCGTCCTTTTCATAGAATTCCTTAACGTTGTCAGTCAGCTGCACAGACAGCGTGAATATTTCGTTAACTTGATACCAGTAAACAAACACACTGGCGAACATGACGACACACAATCCGACAAAGGCGCACAGAAGCCCCTTGGTAGTACAGACCCGCCCACTCTTTTTGTCGTGGTCAGTCATCACGGATACAGAACAGGCGGTCAAACACGGCATAGTCCTAGCACTATATCACTTTCACAGTAGAACTAGTTTAGTCCTAGCACTATAGTACTTACACAGTAGAACTAGTCTAGTCCTAGCACTATATCCCTTTCACAGTAGAACTAGTTTAGGCCTAGCACTATATCACTTACACAGTAGATCTCGTTTAGTCCTAGCACTATAGGACTTACACAGTAGAACTAGTTTAGTACTAGCACTATATCACTTACACAGTAGATCTGGTTTAGTCCTAGCACTACAAACACAACACACGTCCACGGTAAACCTACTTAATGTAGATATAAATCCTACCGTTGGTGAATCCTTTTAACATAATGCTTTCACAAATTGTCACACACCAATGCAGGATTCAGGCATACATTCCCAACGTTGTACTGTTCACAATATTCCAGGTATTGCAAATGTGTTCCGAACGTTCGATTTTAATACAAATTCCAGTTATTGTGAATGTGTTAACTGACAAGAGATTACATCCAGATTAATAACATCAACGCTACAGCCATCAACGAAACCAATCAAAAGCACGCCAGATAACTTATTGAACTTTCTCACTTCAGTATTTTTGATGTTCACAGCACGTGTAAAGTGAATTTTAATAGTAAGTGTATATCGATGGCAGTGGTCCTCTTTCTGTGATCCGGGCTGGGATTTATTATACAGGTAACACATTCACGTCTTTCCTATGCCCTAGTGCCAAATCGATATTACGTTAAGGTAGAGATACCTTATGCGTGTTGACTATACAGGTTGATGTGGTCCCCGGCGATGTTTGACACAATGCAGCGTTCTACATCATAGAGAAGTTATTGTCTGTTTCACTCTCGCGGTTTCCACGTCTTTGCTTTTCATTAATGGTCAATCCTGCAAAACAGAAATTAGCAAAATAATTGCCGATATTTGGACGCACATTGAACAAGAGTATCTCAGGGCTGAACAATATACACCCGTCTCATGCCAATCTGATATACTAACAAGAGTACCAGAGGGCTGAACAATATACACCCGTCCCATGTCAATCTGACATACTAACAAGAGTACCAGGGGGCTGAACAATATACACCCGTCCCATGTCAATCTGACATACTAACAAGAGTACCAGGGGGCTGAACAATATACACCCGTCCCATGTCAATCTGACATACTAACAAGAGTACCAGGGGGCTGAACAATATACACCCGTCCCATGTCAATCTGACATACTAACAAGAGTACCAGGGGGCTGAACAATATACACCCGTCCCATGTCAATCTGACATACTAACAAGAGTACCAGGGGGCTGAACAATATACACCCGTCCCATGTCAATCTGACATACTAACAAGAGTACCAGGGGGCTGAACAATATACACCCGTCCCATGTCAATCTGACATACTAACAAGAGTACCAGGGGGCTGAACAATATACACCCGTCCCATGTCAATCTGACATACTAACAAGAGTACCAGGGGGCTGAACAATATACACCCGTCCCATGTCAATCTGACATACTAACAAGAGTACCAGGGGGCTGAACAATATACACCCGTCCCATGTCAATCTGACATACTAACAAGAGTACCAGGGGGCTGAACAATATACACCCGTCCCATGTCAATCTGACATACTAACAAGAGTACCAGGGGGCTGAACAATATACACCCGTCCCATGTCAATCTGACATACTAACAAGAGTACCAGAGGGCTGAACAATATACACCCGTCCCATGTCAATCTGACATACTAACAAGAGTACCAGAGGGCTGAACAATATACACCCGTCCCATGTCAATCTGACATACTAACAAGAGTACCAGAGGGCTGAACAATATACACCCGTCCCATGTCAATCTGACATACTAACAAGAGTACCAGAGGGCTGAACAATATACACCCGTCCCATGTCAATCTGACATACTAACAAGAGTACCAGAGGGCTGAACAATATACACCCGTCCCATGTCAATCTGACATACTAACAAGAGTACCACAGGGCTAAACAATATACACCCGTCCAATGTCAATCTGACATACTAACAAGAGTACCACAGGGTGTAACAATATACACCCGTCGCATGCCAATCTGATATACTAACAAGGGTACCACAGGGTGTAACAATATACACCCGTCGCATGCCAATCTGACATACTAACAAGAGTACCACAGGGTGTAACAATATACACCCGTCCAATGCCAATCTGATATACTAACAAGGGTACCACAGGGTGTAACAATATACACCCGTCGCATGCCAATCTGACATACTAACAAGAGTACCACAGGGTGTAACAATATACACCCTTCCAATGTCAATCTGATATACTAACAAGAGTACCGCAGAGCTGAACAACATACACCCGTCCAATGTCAATCTGATATACTAACAAGAGTACCACAGGGTGTAACAATATACACCCGTCCAATGCCAATCTGACATACTAATACGAGTACCGCAGAGCTGAACAATAAACACCCGTCCAATGCCAATCTGACATACTAACAAGAATACCACAGGGTGTAACAATATACACCCTTCCAATGTCAATCTGATATACTAACAAGAGTACCACAGGGTGTAACAATATACACCCGTCCAATGTCAATCTGACATACAAACAAGAGTACCACAGGGCTGAACAATAAACACCCGTCCAATGCCAATCTGACATACTAATACGAGTACCGCAGAGCTGAACAATAAACACCCGTCCAATGCCAATCTGACATACTAACAAGAGTACCACAGGGGGTAACAATATACACCCGTCCAATGTCAATCTGACATACTAACATGAGTACCACAGGGCTGAACAATATACACCCGTCCAATGTCAATATGACATGCTTACAAGTGTACCCACAGTGTGTAACAATATACACCCGTCCAATGTCAATCTGACATGCTGACAAGTGTACCCACAGGGTGTAACAATATACACCCGTCCCATGTCAATCTGACATACTAACAAGAGTACCACAGGGTGTAACAATATACGCCTGTCCCATGCCAATCTGACATACTAACAAGGGTACCACAGTGCTGAACAATATACACCCGTCCAATGTCAATCTGACATGCTTACAAGTGTACCCACAGGGTGTAACAATATACACCCGTCCAATGTCAATCTGACATACTAACATGAGTACCACAGGGCTGAACAATATACACCCGTCCAATGTCAGTCTGACATACTAACAAGGGTACCACAGGGTGTAACAATATACACCCGTCCCATGCCAATCTGACATACTTACAAAAGTACCACAGGGTTTAACGATATACACCCGTCCAATGTCAATCTGACATACTAATACGAGTACCACAGGGCTGAACAATACACACCCGTCCGACGGTAATCCGACACACTTAAAATAACTCGGATGCTTTATTGTATCTTGATATGGAGATGAAAGAAGAAACAGCATTTTTTATTATATTACTTATTGACGTTTAGAAATGTGGTGAAAGGAGAAAACAAACTGTACTTTAACAACTTTAGCTGAAGGAATGTATTTCATAATCCTTTGTGACCTATACAAATTATATTTATGGGGATTGTTTCACTTTGTGTATATTTCAAACCATGAAAAAAGAAATTGATCAAGAGAATCTTTGCCCAAAGATTCTCTAGAACAAGTTTGGTTAAAATCCCTTCCACGGTACAGAAGGAGAAGGATCTTTAATGTTTCCCTCTATTTCCCCCTAATGGGCCCCACTCATGACATCTGCTCCTAAGAAGGGACAACACCCTCCGTTGTCCAAAGATGCTCTAGGACAAATTTGGTCAAAATCCTTCTATTGGTTGAGAAGAAGATTTTTAAAGATTACCTATTTTCCCCCTATTTGACCCCGCCCCTCTGCCCCCGAGGGGGACCATACCCTCCGTTTATAAAAACCGGGAACCCTTTGGCCAATGATGCTCCAGACCGAATTTGGTCAAAATCCCATCATCGGTACAACAGGAGATGGATCTTTGATGTTTTCCTCTATTTCCCCTAATTGGGCCCACTCATGACATCTGCTCCTAAGAAGGGACAACACCCTCCGTTGTCCAAAGATGCTCTAGAACAAATTTGGTAAAAGTCCTTCTATTGATTGAGAAGAAGATTTTTAAAGATTTACCGATTTTCCCCCTATTTTGCCCCGCCCCTCTGCCCCCGAGGGGGACCATACCCTCTGTTTATACAAAACTGAGAACTCATTGGCCAATGATGCTCCAGACCAAATTTGGTCAAACTCCTCTGAGCCGTTCAGGACTAGTAGCGTTTTAAAGGTAAAAGTTGACGGACGACGGACGCTACACCATGGGATAATTCGGGCCAGGTAAGCTAAAAATGGCAGATTACGCTATTAGACAAAGTGTAAATATTGACCAAATTTCATAAGAATCCAGTCTGACAAAGTTATTGTGTAGAAATCCTTCAACCAATGCAATCAGACCACAGGATGGTAATTAACTAGGCGCAGATTTTGCTCAAGCATGAACTTAGCCTTAGTCTTCACATACCAACAGTATCTATGCAAGTTTTCAAGCGGAAACAAAAGTGTTGAAGGACGGACGCTCGCAATACCACAAAATATTTGACGGGCAGGTAAAAATATATGTGTATAATATAGAAATAATAGTACTGATGGGTCTGAACGGCCAACCACAGTACAACAAAAACGCTTGTACGCCGTTCACACAGAAATCATATTTCATATTCATCAACGTTTGTTATGTACATACGTAGCATTACAAACAGACTTTGTCATCAAACATTTCGATTTACTTAGCATTCTGCATCATACAATCATTTAAACATGAACTGACGATCAAGTGAACATCTGCTTCAGCACGCTATGGTTTAACCGTCGCTCGGTCGATACTTTTAAAGACTTTCCAACGGAAAGTTTGCCTGGCGTTTTGTTTTCTTCTTCTTGTCATTGAAAAAGACGAAGTTTGCATAGTGTTTTGTTTTCTTCTACTTGTCATTGAAAAAGACGAAGTTTGCCAGGCGTTTTGTTTTCTTCTACTTATTATTGAAAAAGACGAAGTTTGCCAGGCGTTTTGTTTTCTTCTACTTATTATTGAAAAAGACGAAGTTTGCTTGGTGTTTTGTTTTCTTCTCTTGTCGCTGAAAAAGACGAAGTTTGCCTAGCATTTTGTTTTCTTCTGCTTGTCATTGATAAAGACGAAGTTTGCCTGGTGTTTTCTTTTCTTCTCTTGTCATTGAAAAACACGAAGTTTGCCTGGCGTTTTGTTTTCTTCTGCTTGTCATTGAAAAAGACGAAGTTTGCCTGGCGTTTTGTTTTCTTCTGCTTGTCATTGATAAAGACGAAGTTTGCCTGGTGTTTTGTTTTCTTCTACTTGTCATTGAAAAAGACAAAGTTTGCCTGGCGTTTTGTTTTCTTCTCTTGTCATTGAAAAATACGAAGTTTGCCTAGTGTTTTGTTTTTCATCTCTTGTCATTGAAAAAGACGAAGTTTGCCTGGTGTTTTGTTTTTCTTCACTTGTCATTGAAAAAGACGAAGTTTGCCTGGCGTTTTGTTTTCTTCTACTTGTCATTGAAAAAGACGAAGTTTGCCTAGTGTTTTGTTTTCTTGTACTTGTCATTGAAAAAGACGAAGTAGTTATGAGGTAGAGTAGCTTGTTGAAACTGACAGAAAATTTGGAAAAATCTTGTTAAAGGCAAGTGGGTGAATCATTAGAATACAGCTATCATTGGAATGTTTATACACCACCTACACCTGTGACGCACGACACATGTGTGAGGGGGTATTCTGCCGCATGCCTTTACATTTTAATATCAATTTACTTCCTATGTGAGAGTTCCTATATTTGAACCAAATGTTCTTTCTGCGAAAGGTCAATCAGGTACTCTCAGGGCTCTATGAA